ATATATTTTAGGGCTTCCTTGCAAACCACAGAGCTGGAAAGATAAAGCACATCAAGGCATTTCCCCAGTTGACCACTCTGAACGTTAGCTATTTGCACCAGAACTTTACAGAAAGTAGAATGGAACTGCAATAATGACGTCAATATACTAATAAGCAAGCTAGAAATTACTGTGTGAATGAAAAAAGTTTACAGAATAACAGAACACGTTGTTTGGTTTTGCAGTGACAGGTTTGCTTAAAATGCCTGCCCTTGTTCTTGCCCTCTTTTGAAGAATCTGGATGTGTACCCAAAGTCTCACTTGCATTGATATCATTTTAAAGGCTACACTGCAGGCTTGGTACAAAAACTACAGAGCCCTGGTACCAGAACTATAGGATTGGAAGTAGCACCCTTCACTATTACTGGACTCAGTAACCAACACTGTTATTGTTCCAGAAGCATTTTTGGGATAATGAAAACCATTGTGACTGTGGCAACTTTGTAAAAAGTTACTTTTGCTTAGGATAAAGTTATTTCTTTTTTGATTTTGTTGATGTCTGTCTTCAAGCTAACCCTAAGGAGAACCTACTAAAGGGTTTTCTTGACAAGATTTGTTCAGGGGGCTGCCATTGCCTTCCTTTGAAGCTGAGAGAGTGTGTCTTGCCCAAAGTCATCAAGTGGGCTTTCATTGCTGAATAAGGATTCAAATCCAGATCATCAACATCCTTGACCAACTACAAATCCTTAAATTTCCCATAATAATAGTAATATAATAATAATAATAATAATAATAATAATAATAATAATAATAACAACAATCTACAATCCAGAGCAGTAGAGAAAACTGGTGAAAGAGGCTCTCCATGGACAGTTCCTGGGAAAAATTGAGAGCCAAATTGACAAAGAAAAAATATAGCTGTGGCTCACAAATGGAACTCTGAAAAAGGAGACGGAAGGCCTGATTCTGGCAGCCCAAGAACAAGTCATTCGAACCAATGCCATCAAAGCCAGAATTGAAAAGTCAACAACAGATCTCAAATATAGGCTCTGCAAGGAAGCAGATGAAACAATAGATCACATCCTCAGCTGCTGCAAGCAGATCGCGCAGACAGACTACAAGCAGAGGCATAACACCATTGCTCAGATGTATTGTCGAAGGCTTTCATGGCCGGAATCACTAGGTTGTCGAAGGCTTTCATGGCTGGGCTCACTACCTCTGAGGATGCTTGCCATAGATGCAGGCGAAACGTCAGGAGAGAATGCCTCTAGAACATGGCCATATAGCCCGGAAAAAAACCCTACAACAACCCGTTGCTCAGATGATTCATTGGAACTTGTGCCACAAATAGCATCTGCCTGCAACAAAGAACTGGTGGGATCACAAGCGGGAAAAAGTTACAGAAAATTAAAACATCAAACTCCTCTGGGACTTCCGAATTCAGGCAGAGTTTTGGAGCACAGTAATCCTGACCTCACGATCATGTTAAAAAATAAAGTATGGATTGTCGATGTTGCAATCCCAGGTGACAGCAGGATTGCAGAGAAATGACTGGAAAAGCTGACACGATATGAGGATTTAAAGATCGCCTGCAAAGACTCTGGCACAAGCCAGTAAAGGTGGTCCCAGTGGTGATAGGCACACTGGGTGCAGCGCCTAAAGACCTAGGCTAGCACTTAAACACAATCGGCGCTGACAAAATTACCACCTGCCAGCTGCAGAAGGTCACCTTACTGGGATCTGCAGCATTATTCGCCAATACATCACACAGTCCTAGACACTTGGGAAGTGTCCGACATGTGATCTAATGCAACAGCCAGCAGAGTGATCTTGTCTGCTGTGGACTCATCTTGTTGTGTTTCAAATAATAATAATAATAATAATCATCATCATCTTTTTTGTATACACCCTATCTCCCCAAAGGGAATCAGGGTGGTTTCCAACATATAAGGCAAAACATTCCAAGAACATGCCAAGAAGAAAATCATACAAACACTTCAAAATGAAAACATCATAAAACACAAAAATGATACTAGAACACCACAATGAAAAACTGAAAGCAATTGCAACTATAACTCCATCAGACAAGGCTCAATAAAATCAATGGCTAGGACTACCAAGAGGGCAACTAGAATAACCAGCTGACTTCTGGGAAGTGTAGAACACAAAAGGAAACTCTTCCAAGTTTTGGTCTTTTTTCCAATGACACAAAAAACACATTCACAAAAAACTCCAACTCCGCTCAAACTATGTCAAGGTGAATTCTACCAAGAGCTGGCCAGGTGATTTTCACACCCAACACAGAAAATCCTACCAGCATTACTCCTTCATAACTGGCCATAAAGGTTACTGACCTCTCTTTGCAGGGTTGTTGTGAGGATAAAGAAGGGAGGAAAAGAGCAGCATATGCCACTGAAGGAAAGGTACAATATAAATGTAACTATTAGTAATTTAAACTTCTTTGGAAAGGAAAAAGGGAAAACTCAGGGCTAAATACATGTGAGGATGAAATGACCAACTAAGTACTTTTTAATCGCCTCCCAACAAAGGATTCCCCAAGGCAGGAAGAAGCTAGGCTTTGAAGCTGAAAGGCTATTCAATTTAACATTCACACCTGCCTCAAACAGACAAGAGTTCTTTCTCCTACCCTGGGCCTTCCACAGATAGATAAACCTAGTTTCCAACAGACCTCAAAACCTCTGAGGATGCCTGCCATAGATGTGGGTGAAACGTCAGGAGAGAATGCTTCTGGAACATGGCCATACTGCTCGGAAAACTTATAGCAACCCACTACAGTAAGTACTTTATAGATAGACAACCATTCCCACAATTAAGCCCAATCACAATGCATGCAAGTTGTAGAGCCCTCCACACACTGTTGGACTGTAGGTCCCAGCACAGCCAATGGTGAGGCATTCTGGGAGTCGTAATCCAGCAGTTTATGACAGGTTTCACAATCTCACCCCCGTCACATAGAAATACATCTTTACTACATTTGAAATTAAGTAATGTAAACAGACGTAGACAGCTGCAAATTTGAAAATCAGAAACTTTGCGTGCATGCACTTAAAGGGAGAAAAAAGGCCGCTCATTAAACTGTAAGGAACTAAGATTCAAACTTGTGATCCGCTTCCAAAAAAAGAAACCAAGAGCATGCCATTTAATTGAAAGCAGACTAGGACCTGTCAGGCTGAATTTTGAAAATGAACGAAGAACTAAGGGCTTTGCCTCGCTTTTTTGTCTTGTGCCTTCAGGGCTTTATTTTTAAACACACGCACACGCACAGATCATGGAGAGAAGGGCTTACAGAACAATTCTATACATATTTATTATCAAATCCAACTTCATCAAATTCAATGGGGCTGACCAACAGGTAAAGGTTAGTAACTCAAAAAAGTAAAGGCCACTGCACAACTCTCAATGATGGGCATGGGAGATTGGCCCTCCTGGTGTTTTGGACTTCAACTCCCATCATTCCTAACAGCCCCAGGCCTTTCCTTTTCCCCTCATCTAGCTTAAGCCGCTGAGGGGGAAAAGGAAGGGCCTGAGGCTGTTAGGAATGGTGGGAGTTGAAGTCCAAAACACTTGGTGAACCAATTTGCTTGATCTACACTGTAGAATTAATGCAACTTGACTTCATTTTAACTCCCATGGCTTGACGCTATGGAATGATGGGAGTTGTAGTTTTACAAGGCCTTTAGCATTCTCTGCCAATTAACACAACTCCCTAAATGCCACAGCATTGAGCCATGGCAGTTAACGGTGGTGTCAAACTCCATTCATTCCACAGTGTTGATACACCTTCAGTAAATTAGAGTTCTGTGGGCCCTTCCACACAGCCCTATAGCCCGGAATATCAAGGCAGACAATCCCACATTATCTGAGTGTCGACTCAGGACCTTTCCACTCAGTCCTATAGCCCAGAATATCAAGACAGACAATCCCACATTATCTGAGTGTGGACTCAGGGCCCTTCCACTCAGTCCTATAGCCCAGAATATCAAGAGGGACAATCCCACATTATCTGAGTGTGGACTCAGGGCCCTTCCACTCAGTCCTATAGCCCAGAATATCAAGAGGAACAATCCCACATTATCTGAGTGTGGACTCAGGGCCCTTCCACTCAGTCCTATAGCCCAGAATATCAATATGGGGAATCCCACATTATATGAGTGTGGACTCAGGGCCTTCCACTCAGTCCTATAGCCCAGAATATCAAGACGGACAATCCCACATTATCTGAGTGTGGACTCAGGGCACTTCCACTCAGTCCTATAGCCCAGAATATCAAGATGGACAATCCTACAATATTTGCTTTGAACAGGGTTATCTGAGTCCACACTGCCATATATCCCAGTTCAAAGTGGATAATGTGGGATTGTATTCTGCTGTGTGGAAGGGGCCTCAGACAACCCAGTTCAAATAAGATATTGTGGGATTTCCTGTCTTGATATTCTGGGGGCCCTTTCACACAGCCCTATATCTCGGAATATCAAGGCAGAAAATCCCACATTATCTGAGTGTAGACTCAGATAACCCAGTTCAAAACATATATTGTGGGATTTTCTGCCTTGATATTCTGGGATATAGGGCTGTGCGGAAGGGCCCCTAGTTAGTCACCAAACTACAACTCCCAGGATCCTATAGCATTGAGTCCTGGCAGTTAAAGCGGTGTCAAACTGCATTAATTCTACAGTGTAGACGCACTCTAAGTTATACCTGAATTCTGGAGAATCAGTTACAGGTTCAGAAAGGAAGAAGGGACTGAAACAAAGAGCCCTTCCAGACAGACATATATCCCAGAATATCAAGGCAGAAAATCCCACTGTATCTGCTTTGAACTGGGTTATCGGAGTCCACACTGCCATATAACCCAGTTCAAAGCGAATATTGGATGTTATTCAGCTGTGTGGAAGGGGCCCTATGGACCAAAGTGCCACTCTCTACTCACACCAACCCAGAACTAGTATTCCAAGCAGTTGTATAAGATATGCACTGATGCTCACAATAGTACTACTCACAGGTACTTTTCCGGCTTGGTCTGATGGTGCAGAGCCACCGAGAGTCCGAAGAAGCTCTCCGGGGTTTGGCCCTTCTTGAGGACCACGAATTTGGTGTCCAGGTTGAAAGCAGCGCAGGGAAGGCAGAGGAGAGAGACCCACCAGGTGGACGCCAGAAAAAACAGGATTTCCTGCCCACAAAGAGGACTTTTTGTTCGGCAAGGCGGGCAGCCAGGGAGAGCCATGTCTGTTGCCTTCGGGAAGGTTGGATCCTTGCTTCAGGGAGATAGAGAGAGATGGTCCTTGCTTGCAGTGCCTGGGCTTTTCCTTCCCTTTCCTTCCTTGCTCCTTTCCCCCGCTCTTTATCTTCAAGGGATGCCCCGATTCCCAGCCAATCTATCCCCCAACCTCAGCTCCCGATGGAGACCTTAAAGGGGAGGCGCGCTGGGTTACCTCCTCCTCCTCCTCCTTTTCCACCTTTGAACGCAGAATGGAAGCGGGCGCTCCTGGCCACTGGCTCCACTTTTCTTCCGGGGGAAAAGAGAAACAGTCGCTTCTTAAAGGGGCCCCGCCAGGTTGGACACCTGCCCGGAGAGCAAACACAAACCCCAGCAGCCGGGACTCAAGGGAGAGAGGAACCGGTTCTACTTCCATTCCCCACCGAGAGGCCCACAATTGGTTGGCCTCTCCATGCCTTCCTCTTCCAAGCCCTGCCCAGAGCCATCCCTGATCACAGCCCAGGTGTGCTGGAGACGCTTCGGTGCCCTTGCTGAGTGGGAATGCACTCTGCACATGCTCAGGGACATAAGGGAATGCACTCAGCACATGCTCAAAGCCCCATCCACACTGCCATATACATTTCAGGGACACGAGGGAATACACTGCACATGCACAGGGACACGAGAGAATGCAGTCTGTGCATGCACAGGGACACAAGGGAATGCACTCTGCACATGCTCTGGGACGCGAGGGAATGCACTCTGCACATGCTCAGGGATACGAGGGAATGCACTCTGCAGATGCTCGAGGACACGAGGGAATACACTCTACACATGCTCAAAGGCCCCTTCTACATTGCCATATACATTTCAGGGACATGAGGGAATGCACTCTGCAGATGCTCAGGGATATGAGGGAATGCACTCTGCAGATGCTCGAGGACACGAGGGAATACACTCTACACATGCTGAAGGACACGAGGGAATGCACTCTGCACATGCTCAAAGGCCCCTTCTACATTGCCATATACATTTCAGGGACATGAGGGAATACACTCTGCACATGCTCAAGGACATGAGGGAATGCACTCTGCACATGCTCAGGGACACGAGAGAATGTACTCTGCACATGCTCAAGGACATGAGGGAATGCACTCTGCACATGCTCAGGTACATAAGGGAATGCACTCTGCACATGCTCAGGGACATGAGGGAATGTACTCTGCACATGCTCAAGGTCATGAGGGAATGCACTCTGCACATGCTCAGGGGCATGAGGGAATGCACTCTGCACATGCTTAGGGACATGAGGGAATGCACTCTGCACATGCTCAGGGGCATGAGTGAATGCACTCTGTACATGCTCAGGGACCCAAGGGAACACACTGTACACATGCTCAAAGGCCCCTTCTACACTGCCATATAATTTTCAGGTTATTTTCTTTAAACTGGATTATTTGGCTGTGTACACTGACATATATAATCCACTTTAGAGCAGATACTGAGCCCTTCCACACAGCCCTATATCCCAAACTATCAGGGCCGAAAATCCCACAATATCTGCTTTGAACTGGGTTTTCTGAGTCCACACTCAGATAATGTGGGATTTTCTGCCCCAGATAACTCAGTTCAAAACAGATATTGTGGGATTTTCTGCCTTGATATTCTGGATTATAGGGCTGTGTGGAAGGGCCCTCGATGTGCCTTAGATCTGGCTAAAGTGAAAGGTTTCCTAAAGTTAGGAATATTCAGCTTGGACAGATACTTTGTTGGCGTAAACAACTGATTTTAATTTTGGGGTACCTGACCATTACACTCAGGGGACATCTATAATACAGAGTGAATGCAATTAGGGCCCTTCCACACAGCCCTATATCCCAGAATATCAAGGCAGAAAATCCCACATTATCTGAGTGTGGACTCGGATAACCTGGTTCAAAGCAGATATTGTGGGATTTTCTGCCTTGATATTCTGGGATATAGAGCTCAGTGGAAGGGCCCCGAGTTATCTGAGTCCATACTGCCATATATTCCAGTTCAACGCAGAAAATGTGGGATTTTGTTTAGAAGTGTAAGAGGCTTTAGATATCGATAAAATAGGTTTCCATTCTTTTAAGAACATGTCCAGTGATGCATCCCTCAATACAATGGTTAACTTGTTCCATTGTTGTATATATCAGAGTCTTGCCACCATTAACATGCAATGCAGTGCTTTTTCTCTTTGGCCCCATCTACACTGCCATATAAAACCAGATAATCTGTTTTCAAATGGATTATATGGCAGTGTAGACTAATATAATCCAATTAAAGGCAGATAATCTGGATTTCATGACACTGTAAGTGTGCCTTTAAAGGGATCACAGTCATATTTTAGGCCCACTAAAATGGATTTAAGTTGGTCTTGATTTTTCCAGCTAGTTTTGATGGAGATAAAGTATGAAAAACTCAGTCTGGACCCAGTCCAGTAAGAACCAGTTCTGGGCACACTTTAGAGTTTTTCTTATTTTCCTAGTAAATTGCAGAGGTTTATCTACAGGAAGCAGGTGCTCACCTGACCCAAAGTCTGGTTCCATGGGATTTACCAGATGTATCTTCCATTACTTTGAGATCTACTTGGAAAGGAGGACATTTGCTCTGTTTAAAGCTTATATATTTTGCTATTATGGTAGCAACAGTGCCCAATATGCTGAAGTTGATCCATCATTCACCCCATGTTATTCTCATAACAAACCTGTGTGGTAGGTTAAACAGAAAGAAAAGTTAGTTCTAAAGTCACAATGACACTTTTAAAAAAATCCTTCTGCATACTGTCTTTTAATTCAAGTTCTTTTCGCATAGACGTTTCTCTGTTAGATGCAATCCTAATATCCAGAGAGAAAGTGAAGAGAACATGATAAAACGGAAGTGATAAAGAAAATGTAAATATAGCATGCAAATACAGTATTTAACAACATTGGTTGGCTATTTGTGAAGTACACATATATAATCTGTGCAAATGATGCACCATAGCACAACCGATATATTCTGTTTATTGTGGCAGGCACAGAATTGCACATACTGCAACATTATGCATTGCAAATTCACAGTGCAGTTACACATAGAACATGGTGCATTTGCATATTGCACAATGGCAACACATCACTGACCTGTGCTGCATAATGCTGCTATACTGCATGCTGCCTGCATAGTGCTGGGTTAACATATCCTTTGCATGTGAAGATTTTGTAACAATACTAATAACAACTTTATTTTTGTACCCCGCCTCCATCTCTCTGAAGAGACTCGGGGCGGCTTACGTATGGCACAATGTGCCTAAAGCAACGCATAAAATAAACACACAATACAATAAAAGACAAACCAATAGCGTATAAAACAATAATTCAAGCTTAAAACAGTGCCCAATAACCTATGGTGAGAACGGTCATAAAACATGACTAATTGTAAACAGGAACAAAGGAATAGGATAGTGAAAGTTGTAGTTCGTGAACTAGAGCATGGGACTATAGTGCAATGCTGCATTTATACTACATCAAGAGGATGTTGGATTGTAGCCATTGTACACTAACTTTAGGGAGTGTCGCTTCTGATCTGAATCTGTGTTCTTGGTTCATTGAGTCAATTGAATGTGCCCATTTGCTTCCATTCAGTGTTCAAAAGCTAAGACTGGGTGTTCATTTAGACACACAATTCTTCCTCCAAATTGCCTTGAAATTCACCCAATGAACTTTGTGGCCAAGCAGGTCTTGAAGATATGCAGCCTTGACACATACTGATTGAGCATGCTTTATTCAGAATTCCAGAATCCATAATACTGCAAAATCCACAATTGTCCACATGGGTGACACCTTTGCTTCCGATGCTTCCTTGATGCCTCAGTGCACACAAACTTTGTTTCATGCGCCCAATGATTTGAAATAGTGTCCAAAGTATCCTTCAGGCTATGTGAATAAGATATAAATAAAATGTAAATGAATCTTGCATTTAAACTTAGGTACCAATGCCAGAGATACAGCTTAACGGTGTAACATTAGAAAATGTTGACCATTTCCGCTACCTTGGCAGCCACCTCTCCACAAAGTCAACATTGACACCGAAATACACCCTGCCTGAGCTCTGCAAGTGCAGCATTTTTTCCGAATGAAGCAGAGAGTGTTTGAGGACTGGGACATCCATAGGGATACCAAGGTGCTTGTTTATAAAGCTATTGTCTTCCCTGCTATATGCCTGCGAAACGTGGACTGTCTACAGATGTCACATGCAACTCCTGGAACGATTCCATCAGCGCTGCCTCTGAAAAATCCTGCAAATCTCTTGGGAAGACAAGCGGACAAACGTCAATGTGCTGGAAGAAACAAAGACCACCAGCATTGAAGCGATGGTCCTCTGCCATCAACTCCGCTGGACCGGCCACGTTGTCCGAATGCCCGACCACCGTCTCCCAAAGCAGTTTCTCTACTCCGAACTCAAGAATGGAAAACGGAATGTTGAAGGACAGGAAAAGAGATTTAAAGATGGGCTCAAAGCCAACCTTAAAAACTCTGGCATAGACACTGAAACTGGGAAGCCCTGGCGCCCGAGCGCTCCAGCTGGAGGTCAGCTGTGACCAGCAGTGCTGCAGAATTTGAAGAGGCACGAATGGAGGGTGAAAGAGAGAAACGTGCCAAGAAGAAGGTGCGTCAAGTCAACCCCGACCGAGAGCGCCTTCCACCTGGAAACCAATGCCCTCATTGCGGAAGAAGATGCAGGTCAAGAATAGAGCTCCACAGCCACCTACGGATCCACAAGAATACTGATCCTGGAAGACTATCCTACTCATCCAATGAGGAATCGCCTAAGTAAGCAAGTAAGTGAAGTACCTCTCCAAAACATCCCATTATGTGTGTGTGTGTATGTATAGATGCAAATACAGATATTCCAAAAACTGAAAAATCTTCAAAATCCAAAACACTTCTGGTTCCATTATTTTGAATAAGGAATATCCAGCCTGTAACACCTTTGCATCAACAATCCCCACTAATCTTCTTTTTCAGTTACAATAGAGTCTCGTTTATCCAACATAAATGGGCCGGCAGAACGTTGGATAAGCAAAAATGTTGGATAATAAGGAGGGATTAAGGAAAAGCCTATTAAATGTCAAATTGTGTTATGATTTTACAAATTAAGCACCAAAACATCATGTTTTACAACAAATTGACAGAAAAAGCAGTTTAATACATGATACTATTATGTTAGTAATTACTGTATTTATGAATTTAGCACCAAAACATTGCAATTTATTGAAACAACTGTGGATCCAGGCAGGAGGCAGACTGTGTTGGATAATACAGAATGCTGGATGAGTGAAGGTTGGATAAGCAAGACTCTACTGTACTTTTAAAAAATCTCCTAGTTTCTTGTTCCTCTTTTATCCTCACCTTAATTTGATTATTGAAAAATGAGTTGAAAGTGCAAAAGTAACT